GGAGTGCCCGGTGGGGGCCCTCAGGGCGCGGAGGGGGAGGGGCAGGATTGTGTGGCACCAAGGACACATGTAACTAAGGCAGCAAACCAGGACCACGCAGACTGAACGTGCTCCTGCCACTGGCCCAGTGCCAGCTGCCTCTGGCTTCTGACTCCAGCCAAAGGTGACATGTGGGTGAGGAAGCCCCGCAGGAAGCCGGGCCTCACACCCTCTCGGAGAACTCCGAAGGTGGAGGAGGCAGGGCGCCCCTGCAGGGCAGGCAGCTCAGAGGCCAAGTTCCCACAAGGCCAAGTGCCAGCCACACCCTGTATCTGTCAAATCCCTTTGAGGAGCCAGGAGCACCACACTAGGGCCTGTGCCCAGGAGAAGGGGGACGCAGCTCTGTGGACTCGGCCTAGCCACACACCCCGAGCTGACCTTGGATTTGCCATCTGTCCAATGGGCGGGACGGCAGTGAGTAAGATACGTGCCGACTGTGAAGGGCTGTGCACAAAAGAGGCATCACCTCTGGCTTAGCCGCCTCCAGGGTGGGCATGGCCTGGAGGAGACACCCGCTGGACACAGGTATGACGGGTGAGGGGAGTGTCCCCCAGCTCAGCTCAAGCACCCAGCACAGGAGGAGAGGAGCCCTGGGGAGGCCTCTGGAGAAGACAGAACCTGAGCTCCATCTGTCACAGCTGTGACCTCGGGCCCGGCCCTGAACGCCTGAGTCTCCTCACCTGTAACTGGGGCCATGAAGGCTAAATGGAAGAGCTCCTGGCACAGGGAGAACAGCTCGGCGAATGGGAGCTTTGGGGATGTTGGTGAGGGGGCATGTAGCTTCCCCACCACATCCTTTCACAGACCCCAGAAGGGCTGGCAGGGCCCCTGGGCCCGGGGGAAGGCCTTCCATCTAACCCACCCAACATCATCTGCTACCTGAACTCACACACTGGAAATTCCTCTCCAGAGGCTCAGGGAGGGCTATGCCAGGACTGAAGTCGCACAGCACCAGGATCCCGCACTGCCTCCCGCAGGGCTTTCCCGTCACAGCTGCGCCTTTAACTTTGATTTGATGATGCATTCCCTGCCGGGAAGATCTGAAAGGGCCGCCAACACCACTGCTCCCAACCTCTTCCTTCCGCCCACGAAACACTGTGTCAATGAGACACGGGGGACTGTCCTGAGTGCCCCTGTCCTGGCCAAGCCAGACCTGGGCCCCGCGCTGGAGAGAAGTGTCTCATGTCCCAGTTCTCCGGGTGGAGAAGCTTCTGGCTTCCTGGATCCCGAGTTCCACACGGTCTGCAGCGCAAGTCCCTCCCAGCCACCACCCCCTCGAGTGCCTCCGGAGTTACTCACGGAGGTTGGGCAATGGTCAGGGATCCAACTCCCACTTACGTAAGAGGCAATTACCCTGCCCACCTCCGGCTGGGCCCTGGCTCCTAGCCGCCACAGCCCCTCCTGGACTCTGCATACCCTCCCCCTGCCTGGGCCCCTCCAGGGGAAAAGAGGCCCACCCAGTGCCAGTGGCTCCCTGTCTTCCCCACCTGCAGCTCAGCCCAAGCAGAGGCAAGGCCTCGACCTCACAGGCTGAGCCCTTTCTAGAAAAAAAGAAAAAGGTCATAATGGTAATAAGACAGACGGCACAGCAACAATTCCTTCCTAAGTACCTACTGTGCACCAGACACCACGCTATGGTCTCATCGCCCACTCTTGCTTAAAACGTGTTAGTATTCACTATGTCACATGATACTCCAGAGTACAGAGAAGGGAGGTGTGATTACACCCATTTTACAGATTAGGAAAGTGAGGCCCAGTGACACTCCTGCTGCTGGAGGGAGGCAGCCCACTCGTTACAGCTACGTCCAGTTTGGAAATCTCCCACACAACCCAGCCTGCTGAGACACTGACATGCCAAAAACAGACGTTCCTCTTCCTGCAGAAAAATCCCCCTCTCGCCCTCCAGCTCCCCCCCCCCCCACACACACACACACACACATGACAAATCCTGCTGCCACGGCAGTCACCACCACCCAAAACTTTCCAGGAAGCCGGCTCCTTGGAGAAGACAAGAGCAAGCCCACTGCACAGCCAACACCCTGGGCTGGCAGCTGCCCAGCACCCCAGACAGCAGGGGCTGGGCTGGCAGCAGCCAGCTCTAGAGATCCTGGGGCCTGGGGTGGAAGGGAGCTCCCCATGCACAGAGAAGCATGCATGGCACGAGGAGGAGGGGGTTGTGGTCAGGGAGGCTGGGGAGCCAGGAGAGGTTCCCAGGGCACAGGGATGCAGGACAGGACGCAAGATGGCCAGGGACGGGGCAGTGGGGCCTAAACGGATGGCGAGAGTGGGGCAGAGGATGGGGGTTCTGGCTGGAGTATGGCCAGGGCAGCCCTCGGGGGGATGGGGAGGGGCGCAACAGTACAGCGAGATCGCCAGCAGGGAGCCCCGCTGGGGCCCGAGGGACAGCCGTCGGATCAGCCTGGACACAGCCCTGGACCCAGGCGCGGACGGGGCTGGCGCAGGAGCTGGGGCGCCAGGCTGGGCAGTTCCGTCTAAAGAAGGTCGGAGTGACGTTCCCGACCTGCAGGGGGTGTGGGGGGTGTGAGAGGCGATCCTGCCGGAGCCTGGGCCTGGGTGCAGAGCCCAGGCCTGAA